AGAAACATGACAGTGAAACTAAAGGAAGATTGGGATCCGTAGGCCCTTGTACTCTTGAGCTCTCCTAGATGTTTTTCTCCATTATTTTCTTGACAGTTGTTGGGCTTATTCCCAAGTACCACTTTGTTTCTGTGCACGCAAAAGCCTGGCTCCTCCTCTACTGCCAGCCTCTCCTTACTGCTAGTCAGTAGTTTACATATTGCAATCAGGAATGGAGGGAAAGCACAGATCAACTGGATATGCCGTGTTCCAGGGATGGTGGGGTTTGGCACTTGAGAGAGAGCCCAGCCTAGGTGAGGGAATTCGGCTTTGCTGGGGAAATGGCAAAAGGCAATGACTAGAATTGACTTGTAGGTGCTGCTTCCTGAGGTCCACCTGGCGAGAGCCTCATGGCTAAAGCGCCGCGTGGATGCGTCCACCCGTAGGTAGGTGGATGTTTTCTGGTTTTGATTCCTAAGGTTAGTTTTTTAAAAATCTCTTTGCTGTAGACGTAGAACTTAACCTCACAGAAAATCTATGGACAGGGACGAGAGGCAAGTCGTACAGCGCTGTCTAGAATCTCAGGCGTCATGCTGTAATCTAACCCGAACGTAGGAGGAACCTTGGAGATGTGAGGTTTCATTTAACATGATTTTGCTTAAGGGTAAATGAGTTCATTTAAGCGGAGTGCTATACAAGTTTCATATGTAAAGCGTGCAGGTTCCATTCAGATGCCCAGCTGTGACCAGGTTGAAGCCATTGCTCGTGGTGTTTGATCTAAACAGGTTCCTGTGCCTTCTGATTGAGTGTCCATTCAGGGAGCGAGGTAGGGGGTGGGTGGCAGCATACACTGCCTGTCCAGGGAGACACAGATTACCCAGTCAACGGATTAGTTCTAAAGCCTTCTGCATCCTGATTCAGTGCTATCTGCCACGCACTCTGCAATCTGTAGGCTAGCACCTAAAGAGCCGTCTCGCTTTCCATCGGCCTGACCGTGAGTCACCTGCCATGGTCACATCATCCAGTCACCTGGGCTGAGAGAAACTGAGAGGGGAAGATGGCCCCGGGAGCAGGGAGTCCAAATTAATAGCCACAAAGAGGAAGAGGAAGAGGACGAGTAATAATACCTCTAGATAGGCTCTTACCATCTGTCCGCATCTGAAAAACAAAAGAAAGACAAAGAAGAGGCTTCCCTGTTGAGACTCTAGTATTCCAGTTCTGTGACACCGGCTCTGTATTTGTAACATCATTTATATCTAGAACCACAGGACAGATGTGCACCCCTGCATGGTGTCTTTCGTTCAGACTCAAATGAGCACATACAGAAAACGCCACGGAAGCTTCCCGTGGAAATGCTGTTGTATAGGGTGTGCTCCCTGAGTTTGGCTATTATGATCACTAGCTTAATAACTTAAAAGGTCGTTAACGCTGAGACTTTCCTCAACGAACCACGTGTGGCCAGGAAAACACCTATCTTTCCATAATAAAAATCCATTCTGATTTTTAATTTGTCCAAAGGAAAGGAAGAAAACCCCAGTGTTTTTATAATGTTCATTTTAACTTAATTCTCTCTCGTAAGCTATTCCTGTGTGCAGCTAGTTATTACTAATATCAAACGATGGTTAATATTCAGTAAAACCCACCGTACTGTAGAGGAGTTTAATGGCAACCCCTGGTCACACAGTACTTTGAAAGAGAATCTCCCCAGGAGGCAAACGGACTGGGCTCCCAAGCTGGCACCATGATGCATTTACTGCTCACCCTTTCAGCCTCAAAACCCCTGCAGGAACTGGGGAAAACACATAAGAAACTGATGTAGGACCAGAATTCTGTAACAGAGGATAACTGCCCCTAAAGAGTAGAAGACTTGCCTTGGCCTTCACATTTTTTTCCAGTGGACAGCTCTAAATGGGAAGCATGTCTGTCATCGCTTGATGAGTACGGAATTGAGGAATGAATCAGGACATGTTCCTTGGCTAAGACACTCTTTCAGTCCACCAGTAAATGTTTATTAGGTGACTCGTGTGTGGCAGGCACTGGAGGAACAAAAGGATTAAGACAGTCCCTGCTTCAGAGGCGCTAATGATCGAGCTGGGAGGATACTTGCGTAGTTGGATATTTCAGTACATCCTAGTAAGTACAGTGATGTATGTTTTCATTCAGTCAGTCAACAAACGTTCGTCATGTGCCCACGGCATGCCGGTCGGAGAGGATACTCAAGAAGACAGACGAGGTTCCTGCTCTCTCGGAGTTCATCTTCCATGCAGGGAGGTGGCAAACAACAAGTAATCAAAATAATTTTGTGTGACTGTGGGTGGGAAGGAGGAGAACGTGGTTAAAGAGAGAGAATGTGGGCAAAAAAGACCTCTGTTAGGAACTGACGTTTGAAGTAGACCAGAGTGATGCATCAGTCAGGACTCAGCATTCCTTGGATTGCAAGAAACAGGAAGCGTAAGAGGAATGGAGATGATTTATTTTATGCTTCTAATAATCCAGCAGTACAGTAGACTTCAGGCATGGCATGATCAAGGGCTCAATGTCACTGGACTCCATTTCTCTCCACCTTTCAGTTCTGCTTCGTCTGCTGGTTTGTGTTCCAGGCAGGCTCTCTTCACAGAGCTCACCATGGCTGGCAGCAGACCTGGGCTCCCAATTCAACTCAAACAGAAAAGAAAGGACTTTTCTTCCCAGCAGTGTGCGCTGAGGTCCTAGGTCTTTCTCTGGTTGGCGCAGGTTGGCTACAGGCTCATGTATGAACCAGTTTCCGCACCCAGAGTAAAGGGAGAGGTTTGAGACTGAGTTGTTCCGACACCAAAGTTGGGACAGCACAGCCATTCACATCCAAGATATTGAAGCTCTCTGTGTCCATTCCCTCACCTGTGAAGTGGGGATAGGAAGAGTGCCTATCTCAGGGAGAGCTGGAGAAGAACGTTCAGGCAGAGGGAGTAGCAAGTACAAACCTCAGAAGTGGGCAGGGGCCTGATTTGTTTGTCTATGTGCTGGAGACTGGGAACATGGAGGGTAGTGGCTGAAGAGCGGAGAGAACTGGCCGGCGGCTGGACCGTGCCGGAGCGGGCCAGCCTTTGAAGGGTTGTGGTGGCGTCACGTTTATTTTCTCTGCTTCCACTTAAAGACGGCGTCCTATCGGGGCGTCCACAGAACTCCCAGCTGGGTCCTCACCGCCTTTCTCTGGGTAGTGCATAGGTGCCCACTGCTGGCATCTACCCCACTGTTCGAGTCGCTGATCAAAACCACGCTCTTCTGATGGGCAGGGTCTCCAGCTTGGCTTCCAGCCAAGTCCGGCTGGCCTGAGTTGTGCTGGCGTTACTTGGGGTAACTTCCCATGTTTCTGCTTTGGTTCATTTTGTGTTGACGCTATCATTTAACACCTGGAGGGCGATCTTACTGTCTTTAAATTCAGGTTTTCGGGTGGTGCTGCACTCTCGCCCTGACCGTCCTGTCTCTCCAGCCAAGTCCGTATTGGCAGGATATGAAATTTAAAGTGGGTTGTATGAAATGGACAAAAGCAATAATTTGTGATTTCTGCAGTATTAACATCCAGCTGTCCATGTTAACGAATCTATTAGATAATTACTGTTCAGCTTGTGAGAGCCAGATTCAAGTTAGTGAATTTTAATCATTGTGTTTTCTTAGGAATAATTTTTGGAGGGATTAAATGCACATATAGAAAGATTTTCTCCCTTCCTTGTCTCTATAAGTAGGTTTGTATATCTGTGTGTATGCTACAAACACATAGACACATACATGGTTGGATGTCTCTTTTTCAATCTCCACACACTATATCCCAAAATAATTCTTGTCATAAAAAATATTCCCCAGTACTCCATGTCTGAAGTCAATTAAGGAAGTAGCTTGTTTAGAAAACTTACCAATGCCCTTCCTCTTGTTTCCTTTGCTTTTTAGTTTATTCTGTAAATTGCAACATTTAGCACTTTGCAGTTTAATTTAAAAGGATTACCTATTCTCTTAAATGCTTAAGCAGGGAAGCGAGTTGCAGTCATTGATTTTTCTCTGCATGTATTCTGTGAAAGCTGTATTTGCTCCTTCCCCAGGGAGCGTACCCCCTGAACTGTGTGCTTGCTGGTGACAGCTCAGACCTCTGATACATAACCGAAGACCTTGCCTAATATCCTTGCTCCTGCTCGGGGAATTTTTATTAAGTAAAAGCATCATTAGAGTAGACAAGATGATGAAGTTTAATGAGCATCTTTTGTGCATGAGATTGTTAGTTTTGCTCTGCCAGAATCCTCCTTTCTCCCCTCCGTGGGGCAGAGAGCGAGTCTAGAACGTATGGGGTATTTTTAAAATCTGCCTTACATTTTTGTATAGCTTAATATCTGTCCTAAGCCAGCTACAGATTCCTTTTGACTATCTATACAGATGCTGTTTACCACATGTATGTGGATAATTTCTTCTTACACTGTGTGTTGGGGACAGAGAACAGTGACGGTTATAATGGAGGCGAATGTAAATGACACATCCTGGTGTTAGTGAATTTCACGGAACCACCTCTTGGAGGTCTGATCTCAAAAAATCACTGCCTTTTGAATTAATGAGACTGCTCATGGGAATATGGTAACTGTTCTTTTTTTTTTTTTTTTTTTCTTTAAGACTCAGCGATTTATGTGCTAAGGTTCTGTCACCAGCCCCTCAGAAGCTGCTAGATGGGATAAATAAAGATACTGCAAATGCTTATTAATAATCTAGGCTTCACACTTTGTCCACAGATTCATTTGAGGAGATTTTAAATTTAGCATCCTACCATAAGATTACAGATTAGACACAAAATGATTTCTCTCCGTTATTGTCACCGGCCATATACTTAGATTTTTCAAATTGGTTCTTTTCTTGGTCTGTATAAGGACTTTCCATGGAAACACCCAAAACAACAGGAGGGAGGCATATGACATGAGCAAATGACTTAAGAACAGCATATTGCACCTCTCATATACCTGGCATTCTGAAACATAATATTTACATAGCACACAATGTGTTTCCAGCAGCTGCCTTGAGTATGCAGAATACAAAAGAAGTGAAGTCCGCAAGTCCCCGCCCTCAGGAAAATGGTAGGCTGTTGAAGAGGGCAGAACTGAGAAATCCAGAAAGATGGGAGACAAGATAACTCCGCGCCTAAAGAGTTTGAACTTTGGAGCTGTTGCCTGGGTTTGATCCAGACCTTTTGCTAAGCCTCAGTTCCTTCATTTGCAAAGATAATAAGATAAATCCAACTACCTTGGCTTGTTGTGACAGTGAATGCTGATTGCATGGTTACCATATCCACCAGGTGCCCTGATCCAGGTGCTCTACTGGTACTTGGAAGTAACAGCCGAGAGCAGAAATCACTTTGTATCTTATGAAGGACTTAATGATGAAATCCCAATAAACCCTCTAGTATTTGGCGAAGGCGGAAATTGGACCGGGGCGGGCGGCAGGGCAGAGAGAGCTGTGAAAGGCTGAAAGATGTGGCTGCGATCTGAGCTACAGAGAGGGTGGAGGCTAGGCGTTTCAGGCAGTAGCAACACAGACCAGCAAAACACAGAAACCGGAGGGATCCTGGCTGACAGGAAAGACTAATCCCAGGCCTTAGATTGATTTAGTGTTAAAAAATTTCGCAGATCGCCTGCAAGGTAGACGGTATACAGATATGACCATTTTCCAGTGAAGATAACAGAGGTTCTGGAAAGCTATGGGACTCTAAGTTTACTTAGCTAATAGGTGGCAAAACTCCCACTCTGCCCACATTTCCTACAGTCCACGCGGCCTTCCTCCAGACCAGCCTTTCTGCGCTCGGACGGTGAGCGAACAGAGGGAGATGAAGGTGGGTTAGTTAGGCGTTACACGGCATGTTCTGTGGTTACTCTCTGATCCAGTGGGTAGCGGACGCTGTTTTCCTTGCGTAAACCGAGGAGAGAGAATTCCGTCAGTCACGTGTAGGACGTATTGGAGGAAGGAAGGAATCGGTATCAAGGAGACCAAGAAGAGGGAATTCCCTGGCATTCCAGTGGTTGGCACTTGGCACTGTCACTGCGGGGCCCGGTGTTCGATCCCTGGTTGGGGAAGTGAGATCCCGCAATCCCCCAAGCCACACGGTGCGGCCAGAAAAAAAAAAAAAAAAAAAGACCAAGAAGGGACCTGTTATAATAATCTAATGGCCATGTGGTATAGGCCTATTTTAGGGTAGAAGAAAAAGAATGAATAAAATCATAAGATGATGGAAAAAAGAGCAAGTACCGTAAAGCAGCTTGTTAATCCACTGAGTCACAAACCTTTTGAGAAGCTGATGAAAGCTGTGTTCGCCTCCTGCTGAAAAATGCACATACAGCTTTGCTTGGAGCTCAGATCCTACCCTGGCCCCGAGCTGAGACTGAAGAAAGAGGCAGGTGCCAAAAAGACTTCATCTTGTTGATCCTGGAGGTCTGGAGACTTCAGAGGGACAGACCTGAGGAACTGGGCTAGGGAACTATTGCATGCATTTGGTTGGCTATAATAGCGAAACGTTCCTGGTGGGAATTAGGCATAGCAGGGGTTGAAGATGGTGGTGACTTGGAGGGCTCCTATTCAGAGATGATCACGGAAGCTACAAAATCAGATGCTCTTTCTAGGGAAGAGGATAGAGAGAGCTAAAAGCAAAACCCACAAGGGCTGCAGAATTGTTTGGAGAAAGAATAAGTACCAAGATAGTGCATTGGAGCCAAGGGAGGAGGTTTTTCAAGAAGGAAAGCCATGGTCCCCAGTGGTCTTCATTACTGCAGCCATGAAGAGGTGTGAAGGTCTGCAAGAGACCCTTGGATCCAACAGAAACAGTAAGACTCAAATGGATTTTTTTTCCCAAAATGCAGATGGCCGTATTAAATAAAATGCACCTATCAGCAGTAGAAAAGCGTACATATCATACTACTCAATATAGTGTTTGTTGAGAAATTCGCTCTGATTCTGGTGGGCTGGAATTGTTTGCTGTACCATCTCAGGTGTCATCAGGCAGGGTGTTGAGTTGCGTGGAGTTTCAGGGGGCCAGTGCACAGGCAGCTTGGATAGGATGCCTCTCAAATGACCAGTCTGGTGACCTCTGCCGTCCGTGGCATCATTTCATGATGATTTCTCCAGAGCTGGTCTTTGGCTGGGATTCTGCAGATGGCAGCTCAGGGCAGGGCCCGCGCCCACAGGGACGAGAACGAGAGCCCTTGTGAGCCGAGTGATGGTGCCTCTTTCCTCTCCCACAGCACAGAGCATCGGCAGGCATCTCACCTTGGAGGAGTCCCTTCAGCAACAGAAGCCTGTTCATCAGGCACCTGAGCGTAATTGATCCTGTCCTGTCACTTTAGATAGTTCTCTGTTCATTTTTCTGCCCTCCTCGAACATCTCCCAGTTATCCTCTGTAGACCTCAGATTTCAGGGGACAGAAGATTTTCCAAGACCCTGTGCCACAGCTTCCCTCCACATGCTGAGTGGATCACTTGACCCACCAGCGGCTGTGGCCTATCAGTGACCGTGAGCCGGGTTCCTCTGTCAGTGCTCTCAAGCCGGCATGGTCAGATTTCAGTGCCCACCAGAAACCTCCCCGAGAAAGGATCTCCCCACAGGCTCATGGGGGCAAAGTCGATCCCAGCTGTGCTCTGTGCACGCGCAGAGCCAGGGTCTGAGAAGCAGGCGGAACTGGCCAGCATCGCCTGAGTCGCGGGCCTTCGTGAGAGGCTGAAGGAGCAGCTGCTGCCCTGGAACACTTGCTCTGAAACTCCTGCTCTGAGCCTGCGCACACAGGACCTTGTCCATGTCTGATTAACCTGCCTCCACAAGCCCTGCAAGGTAGCAGTGTCCATCATTTTGCAGATGAGGACATCAGACTGTGACAGAAGTTAGTCACCTTCTCCATGTCACGTGTCCTTTGGGGCAGACAGGGTGCAGGAATGCAGAGGCGAGTGAAGCCACAGGTCTGTTCTCCAGAATCCCCTGTGCAGGACGCCAGGGCTCCTGTAGGGCGGGATGGGTACAGTCTGAGCAGAGCACTGAGGGGATGTGCTCATCCAGAAAGCACCTCGTGCCACGGTCTGAAGGGTAGTTGGGACTCTTCCAAGGTCGAAGAGGTGGAAGGTACGTCACGAGAGGAGAGTATGGGTGATCACAGGGACGGAAATCCATCCTAAAGGCTGTGGGCTGTGTTGATCTATCCTGTTTTCCACTTTCTCTATTTTATGATGCTTTGGCATCTTGGGGGTCTTGCTGCCTGGGGAGACTCCCAAGCTAGCTCATCCCTAGAGGAGCAAACAACTCATCTGTTAGCGCATCTTTTCGTATCCAAGCCAACCAACCCCAAACCCCTATCCTAACTACCTCTTTTCTCTGACTCACATGCGCCAAGCCAGTATTCCCCATGACCCAGAGCCAGGTACTGGGTAACTAGAGATCATCTCTTTAGCCCTGGGCTCTGAAATTTTAATCACATCATTCACTTCTAAACTCACTCGTACCCTGCCTCACCCCTTCCTTTTTGTGAAACCACTATAAAGGCTCTGGGCTTTGCTCTCTCCTGAGCGCCTCTGCCTCCTAACCAGCCCCTGTGCTTCCCCGTGTGGCCCTGCACACAGCTGCATGTAACAAAACGCTTTCAAAGGCACAGACCTCTCCGTCTCCTCCCTGTCACCTCTATGAATTAAATCCTGGGGACATCTCAAGCATGGGCCATGACTCTTAGCTTCAGAGTAGGGAGAGAGCCAGTCCCTTCCTGTCTCATTGTGGCCGAGAGGGGACAGTTGGCCTGCCCATTTCCTCTCCCTCTAGTGGAAACAGCACCCGTTTTTCCTTGGGGACACTCCTTTGCGCCCTCTCTGCAACTTAGTTTTTAACTTTTCCTTCTTTTCAGTGAATTATTACCCCAGAATTTTTTTTTTTTCCCTGCTGAAATTAAGCAAACTCCTCACAGACAGCCCCAGAGAGGCTCACTTACTGTATCGTTTCCCTATTGCTACTGTTAACAAATGACTGTGATCGTTTTTTGTTTTTTTTTTTAACATTTTATATTGGAGTATAGCCAATTGACAATGTTGTGATAACAAATTACCATGATATTAGAGGCCCAAACCATAACCAGTGTACTATGTTACAGTTCCGGGTGTCGAAGCCTGAAATTTAGGCGTCAGCAGGGTTTTGCCCTTCCAGAGGCTCCAGGGGAGAACGCGTTTCCTTGCCTTCCTAGGGTCTAGAGTCTGCCTGCATTCCTTTCTCCACGTCAAAGCCGGCAGCTGAGCCTGTTCAGATCTCTGACTCTGGCCCTCCAGCCCCCCTCTTAAAAGGACCCTTGGGATTACTTTGGGCCCACCCAGATAATCTCTCCATCGCAAGATCCTTAACTTAACCAGCTCTGCAAAGTCCCTTTTGCAATATAAGGTAACATAGTCACAGGTTTCAGGGATTTAGGATGTGGACATTTTGGGGGGCCATTATTCTGCCTGCTACACTTACTTAATTGCCTGGAGGCCCCGTGGCTAATAGCTGGTGGAACCCAAGACTGGGGACCCTGAGATGCTTGTCCTTACTGCTCTTCCAGAGCCACGTCTCCAGGGAGGAATGGCCGCTCTCATGTATCCAGTCTACAGATGAGAGTCAAGTGCCGGCTCTCGTCCGGCCACACAGCTGGAGGAGGGAAAGCGTCCCGCAGCGCAGGGCAGAGTCATCCCGGCTTTGCTGGTGACTCACAGAAGAAGTGGGGCAGTGCATTTAGCTCTGCCTTAGGTGCCTTCTTCAAAGAGGATTCGAACCTTTCTTCCAGAGATGCTTGGGGATTTGGCGTCGATAAAAAAATACCGTATTCTTTTTCAGAGGAAAAAGCCCTAGAGAAGTAAAGTAATCATATAATTATCTTTTTTTAATCACTCTGACTATAACCCCACGTCAGTCTTGTTTTTCCACAAGCCCTCGTGGGCCACGTCCAATAGTCCTGTCCTGGTGCCAGGCTTATTTCACCACCATGGCCACCCTGTGAGAAAACGCATCATTTTTTAACAGATGAAGAAACTGAGGCACGTTGGGGTGAGGCTTGCTAATCATTTGCCCAGAACGAACAGTGCGTAAAGTGGCAAAACGAGGATTTTAAGCATCAAGTTCAGGACTGCTATCTCCCGTCCGGCCCTTTGTAGCGAGTGGCTTGCTGTGTAGCCCCAGGAAGGCCGGGCACGCAGTGGGGTTTGAGTCCGAAAAGGCAGGCGTTGAAACGTTGGAACATTCCAGTTCCTTCCTGAAAAGAGGAGCCTTGCTGAGTCCCGAGCAGCTGTTGCACCGCCTTCTGAAATGACTCTGCTGGGTTACCGCCGTCAGGGCCCCGCGACACTGCCATCCTCTCTGGGAAGGCTTCCGTGCCTGCGTGTTCAGGATGTGGTCCCCAGCAGGCCTGCATCACGTCTTTCATCTCTTCTCCCTCCTCTGACCCCTTTATTTCTTTTGATATCACTTTCCCAGCACCTGAGTCTTGCCGGGTTTCCAAATTCGTGAGCGAAGGAGTTGTGTTTCTGCAGATTTTTGTAATCCTTAACATCTGATGCTGTCTGCGAGTAAAAATGTGAATACTTCTTTCCTTTATGGGGATAAAAGTTTGGAAAATAGAGGAGAGACACGTGAAGCTGTAAGAAAGCGGTACCATGGGAGCAGGTACTGAGACCATAGGTGCCCGTGTGAATGCACAGAACAGGGTAGTCAGACCTTGGCTTCGTGCCAGGCGGGCGGAGCTTGGAGCACATCCCACTGGAGCGCTAAGCCCCTGCTCTGGCAGAAAGCGGCATCCTAGGAGGAGACGGGCAGACGCTATGAGAGGATAAGCTTGTCTCAGAGGGTGTGTTGATAAAGGTGAGGAACGTAAGGGCCAGCTCCACTTTGGCTCAGGGTTTCCTCTCCCTGTTGGCGTATCTGGGAGACACGCTGGAGGGGCAGGGGAAGGGGTGCACAGGTTGGAGCCTCCCACGTAATGCAAGGTAATCTTCCTGTCTCAGGATCCTTAGTCTCACCTCTGCAGAGTCCCCTTTGCCCTGTAAGGTGACAATAACAAGTTCCGGGGGTATTAGGACAGGGACATCATTGGGGGTTGGAGTGGCAACAGTGGTGAAGCCGGACTGGCTGAACCTTCCTTTCTGCCTAAACCAATGTTTCTTTCCCTGGATCCAGGAACCCCAGGTGTCCAGGGCACAGAACCAGCCGCTCTTTTTAAAGTCTAGGGGAGGGGGTCCTGTGTTGGTTTGAAGCTCCGTTTTCCTGGGTGGCAGGTTCTCCTGGGGAGGAAGATGTTTCTGCTCAGGGGTGCCGGGGAGGACTGGGCCTGCGTCTCCATTCAATTAGCCAGAAGTCCTCTAAGGGAACTTCTACAGACTTTGAACGCTGACTTGCAAGTGCTGATACGACCCATCTAGGACATGTGGTACCTCCTTCACCCTCCCCTTTACCCGGAGAACGTTCCCAGCACCTGGCTGGACTTAACATTCTTCAGCTCGTAGCTCTGTCAGCTGCCACGTCCTGCATTCTAAACTCCTTGCGAGCAGAAACCCATCTTCGTGACCACTGTTGGTAGATGCTGCTTGTTACTGCTTCTGAGGAGATGCTTGGAAGCCTCTGGAGAAGATAGACTACGTCTGACCTGTCAAAACCCAGTGTCCAGCTTTCCCTAAGCGTCCAGTCAATTGGACAGCTCCGAGCACCAGGTCCCTCCCTCGGCCTGTCAACCACAGCGTCGGTGTCATCAAGAGCGTCAGTATATGCCCAGTGCAGGAGAGGGTGTCGATTCCCTGCGTGGATCCTAGAACACAGGACACCTTGTACAGGAAGGTCAGTCTTTGTGTCCACCCTGTTCAGTTAGCATAAGGCAATTGCACCAAGTGGGGTCAGACATTGCCTTCCCTCTGGAGGCACTGAGACACCCACCTGACTCTCTCAGCGGCACAGTTATATCAATAAGGGGAGTTAAGGTTGAGCTGTATTTATCTTAGGGTGGCTTTTAATTTCGTTTAATCAGAGTTACTCATAAATTACCGATTAATTACTACCTGCTGTTGGGTTCCAGCCCCTCAGCCGCGGAGCTCACTCTGCTCTGCGAGGGATGCCATGGCTGTAATCGTAGGCTACTTTGTCAACATTTAATCAGCGGCACTTATTAACATGGCATTGATGGGTGGTCGCCGCCCCAGCGCCATCCGTCACGGGTGAGCAGCTAGCGAGGGCTCCGACACCATCGCTCTCTGTCACGTCACCCGGTCCTGGGGTTCTCGGGCCAGAATGCTGTTCCCTTTGCACTAAGTGGACACTCCATCTTTTCAGTTCGGCCCAGTTTCTGTCACTGTCGACTTCAGCACTCGTGGCCTGTGGAGCTGCAGTCCGGATCGGCCAGGCTAGGCATCATGGTCCCCCTAGTCCTGGATCTCTCTTCCTTTGCTGATTTCACACTTAGCCCAGGGAGTGTAGGATTCCAAGAGACTTGTCCAGAATTGGACTTCATGGCATGGTGGGGAGAGAGAGAGAGAGAGAGAGAGAGAGAGAGAGAGAGTGTGTGTGTGTGTGTGTGTGTGTGTGTGTGTGTGTGTGTGTAAGACAGTTTATAATTCTTAAATCCAGCATATGACCCAGAGAAAACAGAAATGACCTTGTGGTGTTCTTTGGCTTCCTGAATATTCCTAGAGATGAATCTGTTGATGAAAACGCTGCCCGTAGAAGCATAGCTTGTGTTCACAAGGTAGATCTCACGGTGTCCCCTCCTCTCTCTTTTCAGCCTCTACGGCAGACACATGCAGGCAAACCCAGAACCGCCGAAGAAAAATAATGACAAATCGAAAAAGATCAGCCGGAAACCCCTGACAGCCAAGAACAAATAAGGGGTTGGCATGGGCTGGACTCCTGATGGCTTCTCTCCTTATTACTTCGGTTCTCTCTTTTTCTGTCTCACGAATGAATACTGTGTGTGTTTGTTTTGTTTTTTCTCTTTCTAGCGCTTACCACCTTACCTTTTAAATTCTTTTGGTGGGTGGTAGATTTTTCATAAGTTCTTCAAACCATTTCCATTTGTTTCCTTGAAATTGCCAAAGGCAGGCGTGGTTCAGCTGCAAATTCCATATGAGACACAGCTTTCAGCTCCTCGAGTAGATGTTCACAGAGTTGCTTATTATGAAAAGAACAATTAAAATCATGTAATCATTTAAATGCCACCGTTAACACTGTTTATTCACAGAACTCATTATTTTTGCTTTATTAATAGTTTTCCTTCACCGCCGAGATTTTATGTCAACTTCCAAATGATTTTAATAAGATCTTGACTTCGTGTCACATGTTGCTTCTGAATAAAAACATATCTGATCTTGGGTATACCCATTTTTGTTTACTTTTTCCCCCAAAATGATCTTATCTACTTTTATTGGTTGTCGATGATAAACTCTGAAACTTTCCATGAAAGAAATGCAGCATTAAATCAGAGTTAGTTTCTTCTCACATCGATGTGTCAGTTTTTTTTTTTTTCCTTTGAGGACTGTTTCTAAATTAGGAAGGAGCAGAAAAACAAATCTCTAGGAGATTTTGCCAAAAGATTTTGGAAAGCAGCATTGCTTAGCTGAAGGAATGGTGACTTCTGCCAGTGGCTGGTCGACAAGAGCTGTGAAACAGAGAGGAAAATACTCAAGTGTGTTTCTTGTCACTGCAGAAAATCTGCTCATATCAGAGCATCCTCCTAAGTGACTGTGATGATGCCAAAGAAGTTGTGTAAATGTGCACACTCTATACCACACCCAGTGTAGAAACTGCAGCGGCAGAATCATTAAACAAGTAATTGTTTACCTCTGTGGTAGGCAGCTTTGCTCTTATCTACAGTAACGTGTATGTCAGTGGAAACACATCCAAGCAGAATGTTTGCGCTAAAGGGACTGCCAACCCTGGAATGTCTTAAAAAGTGTGTGAAGATGTAACATTGTCTCAGGTGGATTGTCTGTGTCTACCCCTGCATCTTCTTTTCTCCATCTCACAGCTGAAACCCTGAGACCAAGACCACTGGAACAGAGAAAAAACCAGAATCAAAGCACAGCCAAAAATCCTGAGTTACTTAGGAAATGGATGCGTTCGAATCACAGAGATCACGACTGAAGGTCTACACTTCTTGTTTCTGGATAACTTCCTGATAAAACATTCACCGTGGGAAGAAGAATTCCCAGGTGCCATCACCTGTTTGGGGATTTAGTTGATGTAATTTTTCTAGGTGCAATCTTTGCCTCAGCCTGAATTTCGTTAAATTTTTTTTAGCTTGTGAAATTAACAGGAGGAAGAACAATACCTCTACTATTGGTGATTGGAAAGACTTCATCTAAAATTAAACTAGCAACAAAGCCTTAGTAAAACTACCACAATATAGTCTTTTGAATAATTTTTTTTTAAAAGATGAACACTCTAGATAGACATATGGGCAATCCACGAAAATTCACCGGGAGGAAATATCCCCAAGAACCATGGAAAAAAAAAAAAAGTCCAGCCTTACTAGTAGCCAGAAAGATATAAATCAAAGCAAAAATAAGACAGCTGTAACAATGAGAAATGTGCATATATTTTTTAAGCTCGTGTTAAGTGCTAGAGGGAGTAATACGAGATAAACATTCTTATACGCTGCTATTGGGAATATAAATTTCTCTCCAGAAAGGTGGTAGGAATTTAATGATAACTAGCAAAACTTAAAGATGGGAAAGGAGGGTTAACGGTGTATCCACATGATAAACTTTTATGAAGACATTAAAAATTATTGAACGATATCTGGGGGCAAAGGGAGATCATCATATCCAGTTAAGTAAAAAAAAGTCACACTTAAAAAACTATATGAGTGGTCCCAATTGTGGAAGAAGGAAATTGTGTTTATAATATGTATGCACAGAAAAATGGGAATGGACTTGGATTTTATGGCTGATAAATTATTTCTGTATGGTAGGTTAAAAATTTTTAAATTCCTTTTTATACTTATTCTGTACTTTAAATTCTCTGTAATCAGCATGTATATTTTTATAATCAGAAAATATTAAATGTATATCTTTTCAAAACAGAATTGGTATATTATGCAGTCCAGAAAATATCATATATGTAAGTGCAAGGCGTAATGTAAAATCTCAGGGGGGTTTTCTGCTTTTCTTTTGTCACCAAAGTGTGTTTTCACGTCTTTTCATACAGTCTTTTTGGTTACTTGATAACTGGATTTACAAAATATCTACTTTTCAAAAGGTAGCACTTTTTTTCTCCCAGTCTTATTGTGATATAATTGACAAACACTGTATAACTTGAAGGTATACATTATAAATGACTTGACTTAGGTATGTTGTGAAATGATGACCATGGTAAGTTTAGTTAACATCCATCATCTCGTATTAGTACCCCCAAAAAAGAAAAAAGAAAGTTTGTTTTCTTGTGATGAGACCTCTTAGGATCCATCCTCTTAACAACTTTTAAATATGCAATACAGCAGTGTTACGTGATATCCTCAGTACTTAGTTATAACTGGCAGGTTATACCTTTTGACCACCATCATCCAGTTCCTCCAGCCCCACTCCGTGCCTCTGGTAACTGCAAATCTGATCTCTTTTCCTATCATTTTGTTTTTTAGATTCCACAAGTAAGTGATCATACAGTATTTGTCTTTCTCTGTCTGCCTTAACTCTCTTCGCGTAATGTCCTCAAGGTCCGTCCATGTTGCCACAAGCGGCAGGATTTCCCTCTTTTTATGGCTGAATAATATTCCATTTATATAAATATAACACAATTTCTTTATCCAGTCATCCTTCGACGTTGTTTCTATGTCTTGGCTGCCATGACTAATGCTGCTGTGAATGTGAGGGTGCAGATATCTCTTTAACATAGTGTTTTCATCTTTTGGATATATTCCCAGAAGTGGAATTGCTGGATCATATGGTAGTTCCAGCTTTAATTTTTGTGGAACCTCCCTAGTGTTCTCCATAGTAGCTGTACCAATTTACAGTCCCGCAGACAGTGCACAAGGGTTCCCTTTTCTCCACATTCTCGCCAGCAGTTTTTCCCTTGTCTTTTTGATGATAGCCATTCTAACCAATGTGTGCTGATTGTGGGTTTTTTTTTTGTTTTTTTGGTTTTTTTTTTTGCGGTACGCGGGCCTCTCACTGTTGTGGCCTGTCCGTTGTGGAGCACAGGCTCCAGACGCGCAGGCTCAGCGGCCATGGCTCACGGGCCCAGCCGCTCTGCGGCACATGGGATCCTCCCGGACCGGGGCATGAACCCGTGTCCCCTGCATCGGCAGGTGGACTCTCAACCACTGCACCACCAGGGAAGCCCACTGATTGTGGTTTTGATTTGCATTTCCCTGCTGATATTGAGCATATTTTCGTGTACAGTTGGCCATTCATGTATCCTTGGGAAAATATCTATTCAGGTGTTTTGCCAGTTGTTTAATTGGATTATTTGTTGCTATTGGGTTGTATGAGTTATTTATATCTTTTGGATGTTAAGCCCTTATCAGGTATATGGTTTGCGATTTTTTTTGCCCGTTCCATAGGTTGTCTTCATTTTGTTGACGGTTTCCTTTGCTGTGCAGAAGCTTTTTAGTTTTGATTTAGTGCAACTTGTTTATTTTGTTGCTTGATGCTTTAGTTGTTATGTCTAAAAAATTATTGCCAAGACCTATGTCATAGAGCTATTTTCCTGTGTTTTCTCCCAAAAGTTTTAGAGTTTCTGGTCTTATATTTAAGTTTATACATTATGAGTTAAATTTGGTCAGTGGTATAAGTTAGAGCTTATATCACTTCATTATTTTACACATGAATGTTAGTTTTCCCAGCACCATTCATTGAAGAGACTGTCTTTTCTCCACTGAGTATTCTTGGCTCCCTTGTCAAATTTTAGTTGACTGTACATGCATGGGTTTCTTTCTGGACTCTTGATTCACTTCCATTGTTCAATGTGTCTGTTTTCATGCTAGTACCATACTGGTTTAATTATTGTAGCTTTATAATAAAGGTTGAAATCAGGAAATACGATGCCTCCTGCTTTGTTCTTTCTCAGGATTGCTTTGGCTATTTGGAGTCTTTTGTGGTTCCATGTGAACTTTATGATTGTGTTTCTACCTCTGTAAAAAAAAAAAATGTCATTGGAATCTTGATATAGATTGCTTTTAATCTATGTATGGCTTTGAGTAGTATGGACATTTTAACATAATTCTTCCAGCCCGTTAACACAGGATACCTTTCCATGTTTTTTTGTGTTCCTCAATTTCTTTTATCAATGTCTTGTTTTCAGTGTAGAGATCTTTCACTTCCTTAGTGAAACTTATGCCTAAGTATTTTATTGTTTTTGATGCTGTTGTAAATGGGATTATTTCCTTTACTTCTTATTCAGATAATCCATTATTATTATATAGAAATTTTACTGATTTTTTAAAATATTTATTTTTGGCTGCATTAGGTCTTCATTGCTGCGCACGGGCTTTCTCTAGTTGTGGCAAGCGGGGGCTACTCTTCATTGCGGTGCACGGGCTTCTCCTTGCGGTGGCTTCTCTTGTTGTGGAGCACGGGCTCTAGGCACGTGGGCTTCAGTAGTTGTGGCTCGCGGGCTCCAGTAGTTGTGGCTTGCGGGCTCTAGAGCGCAGGCTCAGTAGTTGTGGTGCACAGGCTTAGTTGCTCTGCGGCATGTGGCATCTTCCTGGACCAGGGCTCGAACCTGTGTCCCCTGCATTGGCAGGTGGATTCTTAACCACTGCGCCACCAGGGAAGCCCTCTACTGAGTTTTGTATGTTAATTTTGTATCCTGCAGCTTTATAGAATTCATTGATTAGATCTAACACTTTTTGTGGAGTCTTGAGGATTTTCTCTATATAAAATCCTGTCATCTAC